AGCCCCACCTCCTCCTGTCCACCGATCCTCCTCCGGCACCCCGAGTGTGTCACTCAATTACCAAAACCAACAAGGACCTTTCACTCGTTACGAGACCTCATATGAATAGATCTTGACCCCTGCTGTAAGTTGTTTCCCCCTATATAAGCAAGCCTCTGCCTACCTCCATAGCCATCCCATCAAAGCCTTCTCTCTCCAACAGCAGCAAAGCTCTCCTCCTCTCTAGTTCCCATGGCCAACAAAGAGATCGTCCCCTATGGTTTTGATCCTTGCAAGAAGCCCGACGCGCTTGCATTGACCGTCGCTCCTCCAGAAGTTACCCTAATTTGCTCAAGTCAATCTTACTTTGCCCAAGCCATCCATCGTCCGATGATGATTGCTCCACCGCCGCCACGTCTACTTCTCAAGGATAAGCCACGTCAACCTGACATGCCGCCGCCGACCAAGGTGACGAAGGAGATCAATCTCCTTCCTCCAAGGGCAAATGAGGTGTTGACCGGAGTGAAGACCATCAAATTTGGAGACGTTACATATGCAAAATACAAGTCGGTCACCCCTCATACCATCATCGATGGAGTTCGCGCTATGCTGGATTAGATCAAGGTTGTTCCATCGAAGGAGAAGAAAAGGAGGGCGCCATCACCACCTATCCCAGAGGCTAAAAAGCGACCATGGATGACCATTGCTCTCTTAGAGAAGAAGATTGAAGACCTCTCCGATGTTATCTATACCCTAGAGCAAAGGATCAACGAAGAACACGTCTATCGCAAGAGCCTGCAACATGACGTAAATGCTTTGAATCATTTTGTTGCTAAGATGAAGAAGTGAGAAGAAGATAGTTAATAACAAGGCATGAGTGTTTAGGTCATGTGTTTAAAAATAGTATGTTTAGGTTACTCGCTTAGCTCAGATCGTTAGAATATTGAAGTTCGTGTTAGGTCATCAAAAGTTTGTGTTTAGTTTGTGCTTGTGCAATAAAGTGCCTTATATATTAATGAAGTCTTCTTCTTATTATCTGTTCTCTATTTCTTTTTGGATATGTGTTTGTCTCCACATGTTGTGCATAAAGGTATATAGGGAAACAAGTGTGGGGGTAGCACACCACGACATCAAGACAGAATTCGATCGCGAAAATCATGAAATTCAAAAAGCAACATAACAAAAACCACGCTCATCAAAGTTGGACCGAAATGGGCCCGAGAGTGGGCCTCTCGGCCTCCTAAATGGGCTAGCCAGCCCATCACAGCGTTGTCTTGCCTCGCGCTTCATCCATGGTCAGGTTCAAGCCCAATACACTCTATTTTTATATGTTTCGCTTTCCATTTCAAACCGAATTAAAAATCCTTTAATAAGACAACTTTAAAACATAAGGAAAGATTATTTCAGTCATGACTTAAGGGTAGACTCACATAATACTTTTTCTAGAAGTCTTGCTACTACTAGAAACTTATTATTAGGGACCCCATGTTACTTAAGTAGTTGTGGAATGAGATATAGTAGAATAATGAAAAGTTAATTCTTGATGTCTTGTTATTAGAGAATTTTATTTAAAAATAATAAAAGGAATAGCTACACCTCTCCTTTATGGTAAGCAATATCCTACCAAAGCCAAATACAATAGATTAGGAAACCTTCTACATATACTACTTGTCATTGTATTGAGTTTGTTCAAACCATGTGACCCTTGTTGAGAAACTTATCATGCTCTCAAGATCAAGATCACATACACTCTACATACATCTGCTGCTCCCACACGGGGTATGCAACAACATGTTTTCTATCCACCTAAAAATGTTCTACTCCTATACTGGGAATAGACACAAAAATATGCTTGATAGGATAAATGCTCTAAGTTCTTGTAAATGTCTCTCTTGAAAAGTTTCAATTGTAGAAAGAGAGGCATGGACTATGTAAAAGTTATTTAGAAAAAAAGAGTATTGAAAAAAATGGATAAGTGTCTGAGATATTAAAAACAATGGGTACTCAGATGTCCGCCTGAAAAGAAAAAAAGAGAAGAGATGAATAAGATAGCCTATGTTTTCTTGCAAAAGTTTTTCAAGTTTCAAATAAGAGAGATATGTTTCAAGAAGCATAGTAGAATTAGGTTAACCACTATATATATATATATACACACACACATGCATATCTTGATCTAAGTGTATGACATCTTTCTCCTTGTATCCTTATTTTGACTTTACAACATATACAATGCAAGTATGTTCTCATATTCATCCCTACCTGAGCTCCACATAAGCTTTTAGAAGTAGGTAAAAAGAAGACAAAGTCATCAATGCCTTGGTGAGGAATCAAAAATACCATATATACAGAGTGATTTGAGAGTACTACAAAAGGAGAAGGTAAGCTATGTTTTATTTTAAAAAAATCTTAAAATGATTCTCTAATTGACTTGACTGAAGGAAGATTGTGATCTGTTTCAAGCTGTTTCGCTCTTAAACCGTCCAAAGTTTCATGGTAAACTTTGAATCCTACAGTGCATGCATGACTAGGAATGGTTTTATGTTGATGTCTTGTCCTAAGGTTATGTCTTGAGTAAAAGCCTAAGTGTGGGGGAGTTTGTTGACGGTAGTTAACATTCATTACAAAACATCAATATAACTTGTATAAATGGCTAAAATGGATTTTCAATGTAGACTTAGGGGTTTAAACTGACAAATTCCATGAGTTTTGGTGAATCTGTGTTTTTAGTAGGATTAAATCAGAAAACCGACAAGGATGACCTATTCGTCAAAGGAAATTATGAAATTCCAATGCGTAATCGACATGGGAAGACTCTAGAAGACTCCAGAAGGTGAATCACCAAAGAGGGACACGTGTCTCTGACATGTGGGGCCGCCTGGCCCCTATGGGCCCCACCTATCAGTCTCATTGTTATGTCGGTTCTCCACCGTCTTAAGGATTGCATCTCCGCCGTTCTTTAAGTCAGTTTGATCCAATGGCTCATGTTGGACGCCCCATGCTATATATACCAGCCTGCCCTCCCCCTCCAGGGCATGACTCATTTGATCCTGAGAGCTAAGAAGTCAGAAACCCTAATCCATATGTCCACCAGGATCAGAGCTAGCAATCAAGAGAAGATTAGTCCTCAATATGATCTAGTCTTGTATTAGAGATAGCGAGATAGAGTAAGAGAGAAGAGTTTGGAGGAGTCCCGGCCTGTCGGTGCTCCCTCTATGGCTTGTACCTTGGTGGAATCAAGTTTTCTTGAGCTTGCTTCTGAGATTTCTCTAGTAATCGACTTCTAATTCAAGTAAGCATCTTATTCATATTATTCTTCAGGTTTGCGACTCTCTTTTGAGAACTTTAATCCTTGTAACTCCTAGGTTAAAGTAGTATTCATAGTGTAAGCATAGTGCTTAGACTTGGTTACTCGTGGATGTACCCTATTTTTGGATCGGTGGTAGCTCGCGAGGGTGACCCTTATAGCCTCGTTGAATCCTTTGTAGGCCTAGTAGGACATTGTTGCTATAGGAAACATACTCTGCCTGTGTTTTCTCTAGTAATATCCTCAGAATTGAACAATAGAAGACAAAGCTTACCGAAGTTAGAACTAGAAGACCTTAGCAGTCTCCTCTACGCTCCTATTATCTAGCCTTGATTGTGAAGTTGGGATAAGTTAGATTTAGTTATTCTCACACACATTTTCTCGAGTTTGATATAAAACTGGGTACTCCCGGTGAAGTGCTATATCGGTATAATATCCGTGCGCTTGCGGATTATTCTGTGTGTATTAATTTATACCAACAACGGGCGATGTAGTGTTTTAGGTGTTCCAGATGTATGTGTTCAAGTGTTTTTATTTGAATGTTGCGTATGTTGCAATGGCTATATATGCATGTTGCAAGTATATATTTTATGTTGCAAACATATATTCAAGTGTTTCAAACGTATGTTTCAAGTGTTTCATCTGGATGTTGCAGAAGTATATATCTCTGGATATTACATAACATGCATGTTGCAAGCGTATAATTCAAGTGTTTTATACGTATATTGCAAGTGTTTCATCTCGATGTTATAAAATTAGATATGTATGTTGTATATGTTTTTGCAATGGATTTCAAATGTTTTTCAGGTGTTTCTAGATGTATGTGGCAAGTGTTTCAGACATATGTTGCAAGTGTTTTCATTTAGATGTCGCAAAAATAGATCAGGATATTATACATGTTGCAATGGGACCCACCTGTTATAAGATACCTATCGCTGCTACTGGGGCGTCGCCCGTAGGTCACTGTGTGGGGGCCAGGGCAGGTGACTAGGATCCACGTGAGTTTCCCACGTGCGGGCGTGATAGTCATCCAGGAAACAGAGCAAACGTGATCCACGCGAGTTTCCCGCGTGCGGGCGTGATAGTCATTTAGGAAATAGAGCAAGCATGATGGTAGATGCGGGAAACAGCGTGGGGTCATGTGATGGGACGCGCGAAAATAGGTGGACACGAGCTCTCTTACGCTGTGTTTGGTTCGCAAAATGAAAATTTTTAGATGTCACATCGGATGTTTTGGGATGTCGGAAGGGGTTTTTGGATACTATAAAAAACTAATTATATAGCTCGCTTGGAAACTACGAGACGAATTTATTAAGCCTAATTAATACATCATTAGCGCATGTTAGTTACTGTAGCACTTATAGATAATCATGGACTAATTAGTCTTAAAACATTCATCTCGCGATTTCAATCAAACTGTATAATTAGTTTTTTTTCATCTATATTTAATACTTCATACATATACCACAAGATTCGATGTGATAGTTTGGGGTGAAAATTTTTTGAACTAAACCAGACCTTACGTGTGCAGCACCGGGCGCTAGCAAGTTCGTTTTTTTTAAATTTTAGCGAATATAATAAGAAAAGAAAAAAGGAAGAAGAGAAGAGAAAAACACAGCCGGAGAAAGAAGCAGGCTCGCCAATGCATTCCCCCGTTTGATTTGATCTGACATCTGAGCACAAAGTCTCTACTCGGGCCCGGCGCGTCCGCCCAGCGATGGCGAAGCCCCCGTCGTCCGTGGCGGTGGCGGCGGCCGCGGCCCGGTTCACAACCGGACCCGGCTCCTCCTCGTGGCCGTCGCCGCGTCCGCATCCACAGCGGGGTTCCTCCTCCGCGGTGCCCTGCGAGACCCCTGCGACGGCCGTGGGGACCCCGCCGCCCTCAACACCGCCGTCGCCGCGGGGAGTCCCCTCGGGCTCATGAGGTCCAAACTCGTGCTCCTCGTCTCCCACGAGCTCTCCCTCTCGGGTAATTTGCTCACTTAGACTTAGTGGTTCGCTTCACTTCGTAGCTCATACATTCCGGAGCCGTGCCATTTTAGTATTTGCTGGTTTGAGTACATCTCTTGCGGTCCCATTATTGGCAGCTTATTGGAACATGTGAGGGTGCACTGTGCGATTTGCACTGGTGATTGGTAACTCTAATTACTATCTTTCATTTAAGTTACCGAGAAACCAAACAGAGATGGAGTGAGATTTGTACTTCCAGTGGTGAATATGAGAAGATTTCTGGGAAAGCTAGAAATTGATGACAATCAGAGTGATGTTATGCTAGCAGAAATAGTTATCTGATTACTCGTAGCATATACTCAGAAGCTGTTGAGTACTTAACAATGTTCATGTTGCTCCTAAGTTGGAGTATTCGAGTTCTGAAATGGTATCTGTTGAAAGGATCTCCAAAACCTAAAGCATCGTTTGTTTGTTGCTGGCATCCATTTTAATGACCAATCAGTCTTAGTGGAAATACTCCTACCTGATGCAGGTGGCCCACTTTTACTGATGGAATTGGCATTTCTTCTGAGACATGTTGGCTCGCAAGTGGTGTGGATAACAAACCAGAGATCAGAAGAAACAAATGATGTCACATATAGCTTGGAGCATAGGATGTTGAACCATGGAGTGCAGGTATGAATGCTTCTGCAGATGTGTAGCTTGGAATTTCGGTCTTACATTTGTGCATGTAGCGTGGGATTCACATGTGCCAATGTGGTAAAGTTACAAGGCAACACTCTTAGTTTCTAGAAGTATAATCGAATTTTGAGAAAACACAAACACAATAGCAGAGGGCGATAACTACCATCTGATAAACATAGGTCATCAGATTTAGACTTGTTGACTTAACTGTATTATATTTTTTGGAAGGGTTGTGCTCTTGTTCTTAAATATATGTCTGTCTAGGATTTTGCATAACCAAGGGCCATGGCACACCAACAAAAGATGTTGTTACCCTCATTCAAAGCCTTGATCAGGTTTGTTAGTTCTCTTGAATGTTGTGTGTACTCTAGGGCATTGTACTAAATGATCTTGTGAATAGAAATTGATCATTAGGACAATAGAGTTTTTCTAGGGGCAAAAAAAGGCAAAATCATAGACTACCTTGTACTTTTAACGGCTTGTCTATAGCTCATTGAGTGATTCAGTGGCTGGAAATGCACAATTTTTGGGTTGTCTGATTGGAATCCAACGTCCATTGCTGTCTTCCATTCTTTCTTGAGTTCTTCCTCTGAATACCACCTCTGCTGCCAGACACTTCCAACCGCTCTCCTCTCCCTCGCATCCTTCTAATCCTGCCTCTGCCCTGCCTATGGCAGCCTCTCTATGCTGCCTGCCACTACTGCCATCGTTGTTGACCATGTCCCGACCATATCCATTGGCCGTCCACCACTTCCCCGGTAGGTGGCGCCACCGCCACCTTATCCCACCACCTTTGTACAGTTGTACCACTAGAACTGCCGGTCGAGCTTGCTGCCAGTGGCCACTGATTCCCAAGGTGAGCTGGGTATGCCTTGATGCCTAGGTGATGCCTTTGATACTGTTCAAAAGATAAGACTTCCTAACCAACTAGGCTCTAGAACTTTCTTAATTATTCTAGACTTGGCAATGACTTGAATGGCAGCTGAGTCGCAGGACCTGTGGCACTACCCACTCTTGTGAACAGTACTGTGGACCTGAACAGCTCCTGGGTAAAAGTAGTATTCGTAGTGTAAGCGTGGTGTTTAGACTCGGTTACTTGTGAATGTATCCTATTTTTCGGATCGGTGGTAGCCCGCGACGGTGACTTTTATAGCCTCGTTGAATCCTCTATAGTCCACCTCCTGTTAGGAGGTCTAGTAGGACCTTGTTCCTATAGGAAACATACTCTGCCCGTGTTTTCTCTAGTAATATCCCTAGAATTGAACAATATAAGACAAAGTTTACCGAAATTAGAACTAGAAGACCTTAGCAGTCTCTTCTACACTCCTATTATCTAACCTTGATTGTGAAGTTGTGTTAAGTTAGATTTAGTCATTCTCACACACATTTCCTCGAGTTCGATATAAAATTGGGTATTCCCAGTGAAGTGCTACATCAGTATAATATCCATGCGCTTGCGGATTATTCTGTGTGCATTAATTTACACCAACAGCGGCTGATAACACCAGCCGTTGTAACACCCTGAAATTTGATCTAGTTTAAAAATCACTAAAATTTTGAACTTTTTAAAACTTTGCATACACTACTACAGATCAACCAACCACAAGCGGTTCGTGAAACCCATCACTAGCGTTTTTCGGTCTCGGCAGCAAGCTGTCAGCAGTGATTTGAATTTTCAAAAATTTCCAAAAATAGCAAAAAAATCATTTCAATCCTGGGAAGCCCTTACTAGCTCCAGCTTCATGGTACCAGGAAGTTGCTCCAGCTCTAACTCTACGCTATTTTCCATGGTATGTGGTGCTGTGATTCGAACCTGAGACCTTTGTTCTTTGCTCCTCTAACCACTCTCCTCTAACCACTCCACATCTAAGTCACTTGTGTCAGTATAGCATATCTATTCTCCTAGTATTTACTTTTTAGGATTTAAAATGAATATTTAGAACCCTAAACAGCTTCAGATGAAAAAGTCAAACTACAAATTTATTGTTCTAATCGAGATCTACAACTTTGATTTTTGTTGTTTCGCCATCCGAGGTCGTTTAACAAATTTGAATTTCAGAACGACAAAACTTCAGCCGGACTTTTGGGACCTCAAATGATTTCAAATGAAAAACTCATCAACTACAAAGTTGTTGTTCTCATCGAGATCTATAACTTTGGTTTTGGTCCATTTTCCATCCGAGGTTGTTTAAAAATTTTGGTTTTTTAAAATTTTAAAACTTCAGATACAAATTTGAGACTATAAATGATTTCTAATGAAATAGTTGTCAACTACAAAGTTGTATATCTCATCGAGATCTATAACTTTGGTTTTAGTTGTTTTTCTATCTATAGTCGTTTGTACAATTCAAAAAAATTGAATTTCAGAAATTAAGCACTTCAAACAAAATTCTGGACCGTACATGGTTTCAAATAAAAAAGTCATCAACTACAAAGTTGTCGATTGCGTCGACATCTACAACTTCCCCGGTAGGTGGCGCCACCGCCACCTTATCACACCACCTTTGTACAGTTGTACCACCAGAACTGCCAGTTGAGCTTGCTGCCAGTGGCCTTCCCTCTAAACCCAGGACCTTTTCCCTGGTGAAGACTGCCCACCTGGAACCACAAACCCTAACATCTTTAGAGCCCTCATTGGAGTTGGGGAAAATAGTGGGATTGATACCTCTAGCATGATGAAAGGTGGCACTTAAAGTGTCGGGTGAGCAAAACCTTCGTATCACTCGGTTGTAAATTACTTCCTTCGTTCCAAATTGTAAGTTGTTTTGGCTTTTCTAGGTACATAGCTTTTTGCTGATTTGCTGTGCACCTAGATATACACTATGTCTTAGCTTTTTGCTGATTTGCTATGCACCTAGATATACACTATGTCTAGATACATATTAAAAACTATGAACCTAGAAAAATCAAAACGACTTACAGTTTGGAACGGAGAGAGTATATTTTTTTCTATTTTTAAAGAACGTTTGAAAGTTGAATTGAATCCAATTGTAAGCATCATCCATGAAGAATATTGATAAAGTTGGTGGAATTGCAAGAGTAATAACTAGCCTATGGGGTCATATGATGGTAACGTGATTTTTTTGTAGCTTTGTCTCTGTTATTGTGAAATATTCTAAAATTACATGTAGTGAGGAACAGAGGGAATATGTCTCTTGGTTCCTCATTTAATTTTTTTCACGTCATAAGTCACTGATTGTCGAGTCCTGTAAATTGAAGAGTATGCTAAAGTGGCAGACTGGCAGGGGAACTTTAAAGAGCTATAGTGTTATGTGCCTAGGTTGCCAGAGATTGAGAGGGGATTTGGGGAGAAGGTGAAGGCTGGTTCTTTCGGGCAGCAGGAGCATGGAGCAACAGCCAGGATGCTGGCGCCCAGGCCAGGGCAGAGAGATAGGCTAATCCCTTGTTCTACTTCTGCTTAAGTTGTAAAGGTGCATGGTCCTCTTTATATAGAGGTGACTCTAACTTGACTGCTAAGTAACCTTAGCACCTCATTTGACTGACAAGGCGCCACTGTTTCCCAAGGCGAGCTGGGTACGCCTTGATGCCTAGGTGATGCCTTTGATACTGTTCAAAAGATAAGACTTCCTAACCAACTAGGCTCTAGAACTTTCTTAATTATTCTAGACTTGGCAATGACTTGAATGGCAGCTGAGTCGCAGGACCTGTGGCACTACCCACTCTTGTGAACAGTACTGTGGACCTGAATGGGCCTCTTATTGGGCCCAGTTGGTCCTGGGCTATAACATGTAGGTATGTATCTTTCTGAAAATCTACAGCAACAGAAAAGAACACTTCTCAACTCTTGAAACATCAAAGTACAAGAAGAACACTGAGCGACATTCTACTTTTTCCTCCTTGAAGTGGCAGGAGAGTTGCCTGTTGTTTAAAGAAGTAAAAAGTAAACCAAATCACGAACATCAAAACCTAAGACATTCACCTGAATTGAATCCAATCTGAACAAAGGGAGCAGGAAGAATGCTGAGTTATATAACTTTTTTGAAAAAAAAGAAAGATAGCTAATTTGTTTTCACTGAAATAGTATGATATGTTGGGCCTTCATATCTTTCTATGTTCAGTGGAGGAGAAATTGCTACAGTTCAGATGGAATTTCAGGAGTTCAAAGAGAATATGGGAGGTAGGAGGAAGAAGGATGGATTTGAATATGTTAGAACTGGGACGGGGACCAATTCCACTGTTTTCTTTGTTGATGTCCAGCTCATGGTAGCAAGAGACTACAAATTTGAGATGATCAGAATGGCTACTTTGCTTCTAGGAACTACTCAGTGCAATTTGTAAGCAGGAAGGATTGAGTATAATGCGTGGTTGTATTGCGTTGAGCCTCTCGGGCAGTATATATAGAGTACAGAGACTTGGGAGGCAAGACACCTTGTTAGAGTACGTCAGGGGCCTATTGGGCCTGGGTTGGCTGTATAGCCCATTAGTGTTAGGGTTAATTAGAGATAAGGGACCCTTACTTAAGGGTCAAGTAAGCGACCCTTATCTCTAATTAACCCTAACACTAATGGGTCGCTGTCGATGGCCACGGGGGCGTCTCCCTCCGCCATTGGCGTCATGTCGAACGCCGAATTGACGGCAGCGGTGCTCGACCTCGGCAAGATGGTGGCTGGGATTCATGCGTTCCTTTTGGGACCGCAAGGACCGCAGCTGATCCCACCACCGCCGCCCACGCAGCAGCAACTGCCGCCGCCACCGCTTCCGGCTTGGATCGCCGGTTTGTCGAAACCCATCTACACGGCGCCCAGTACCCAGCCGCACCTACCGCCGCTCCCGACCACCGGGGCTGTCATGGCGCATGGCGGCGCCCCGGCTCCGGGCGTCCTCTACTGCAGGGTGGACAGCCCCCTGTTCCAGGGCGGCAGCCTGATGCCGACGCTCTCCGCCGCGTCGCCCTCGCTGGACAGCACAGGCGCGGCGCCCTCGGCCTCCGCATAGGACCCGCCGCCAGTTGCTCTTAGCTGCGCGGAGGACCTCGATCTCGTCCGCTGCGTCGGGGATCTCGGGCATGCTATTTTCCCTGTGGGCAGCAATTGGGGAGGCGCATCCCTCCACCTTGTTCTCCATCGGAAGCCCTCCGCTCTTCTCTGTGCGGTGCAGACCAACAGCCGTCTGGCGGGGAGAAGGTGTGGGGTCACCAGCGAGAGCGCACCACGTAGCGCCGTCGCATGGTCGCTGTTGCGACCACTTCTAGGTGGCCATACACATGCACCCCTTTCGTCTAGATGGTGTCCATGGGATCCAGGAGGCGGATGGTGTCCACCTTATGTTCAGGAGTCAAAAATAAAGAGTCTCAGTCTATTTCAGGTTGAGAATAATAAAATAAGCCAAGATGTAAAAGGCTTGTTTTTAGGTGTTAGGAGTCGAGTCAGCGTTATAAGTTCGTTAGGTTGCAGCTCGAGGACGAGCTGCATGTCCAGGTGGGGTGTAGTGTTAGAGTACGTCAGGGGCCTGGGTTGGCTGTATAGTCCATTAGTGTTAGGGTTAATTAGAGATAAGAGTCGCTTACTTAAGGGTCAAGTAAACCTCTCTATATAAGGAGAGGAGATGTATCGATCTAATCAAGCAAGAATTAAGAAGGAAACCCTTCCCTCTTGCCTGGCCGTGGGCAAACGCCCTGCGGTCGGCTCTCTCTCACCCTCGCAGCCATACCCGTGAACAGTACCCGCGGTACTGTAGCGCGTCAGCCGCCGCCGCTCCCCTCGACTCTCTCCTCTCAATCCTCCACCCACATAACACACCTCCCTGGATACATATGGCAATATTGGATTACAATCCTAACTACTAAATATACTCTGATACAATTCATTAGTCATTTTCTTGTTTGTGCACCTCAATTGGCTTTACTATGTTAATATTGAGCATAATTTAACGAAGTGCAAAAGGAAAGATGGCTGCACAAACTATCTCAGCTGACATGCATCGAGATGTAAGTTAATCCTTGCTTACTTTGAACTCAAACTGCTTGTTTCACAGGTTTTACCAGCTAGGGGACATGAGGCAGTTGATATTGCTCTAAAAGCTGATCTGGTTATTTTAAACACTGCTGTTGCTGGCAAGTGGCTTGATCCTGTTCTGAAAGATCATGTTCCTATAGTCCTTCCGAAGATTTTGTGGTGGATCCATGAAATGCGAGGGCATTACTTTAAGGTTGAATATGTCAAACATCTTCCCTTTGTTGCTGGAGCCATGATTGATTCTCACACAACGGCTGAATATTGGAAGAGCAGGACTAGCAACCGCCTGAAGTATGTGTAAAATTATTGATTCTCTCTGGTCCTTTTCCATAGTATTAATTGCTGGGTTCTGTATATAACATTGAAGAGAATGGTATCTTAGTTTGACTCCTTACTACTGATCTGAATAACCTATCTAGGAGAGAATATATCTGTCCCTTGCTTCTCTGTTGATAGCTCCAAACTGACTGGCTATATGTATTTTTCTGATTTTCTGTTATGTATGGATCAGCTGTTTCTTGCATTTTCTTGTTGAGTATCTAATTCATCATTGTACACCTGTAATTTTGTATAAAGAATACAGATGCCACAAACTTATGTTGTTCACTTGGGGAATAGTAAAGAACTAATGGAAGTTGCTGAAGATAATGTCGCAAGAAGAATCCTACGGAAACATATTCGTGAGTCCCTTGGAGTACGGAGTGAAGATATCCTGTTTGCAATAATAAACAGTATGTTTCACTGCTTTCTAATTCTGCAATTTCCAATTATATTCTTTGCGATGGCCCTGATGGTATCTCAATCAAGGTGTGGAGATGTCTTGGGATATAGCTATAGTATGGCTAACCAAGATGTTCAACAATATCTTTCGATCGAATAAGATGCTTGAGGAGTGGAGAAAAAGCATATTGGTACCAATCTACAAGAACTAAAGAGAGATATCTAAAATTATACTAATTATCGGAGAATTAAGTTGATGAGCCACACAATGAAGTTATGGGAGAGAGTCATCGATCAGCACCTACGATGAACGATGCAGATATCAACAAACTAATTTGGTTTCATGTCTGGAAGGTCAACCACAGAAATAATCTTCTTAGTATGATAGGTTATGAAGCGGTTTAGAGAGTAGAAGAAGGATCTTCATTTGGTTTTCATTGACTTAGAGAAGGCTTATGACAAAATGCTAAGAAATATTATGTGATGGTCTTTGGACAAATATAAAGTACCATCAAAGTACGTGACCCTCATCAAGGACATGTACAACAATGTTGTGACTAATATTCGAACAAACGATGGTAACATAGATTACTTCTCGATTAAAATTAGACTTCATCAAGGGTCAGCCTTAAGCCTGTATTTCTTTGCCTTGGTAATGGATGAGGTTACCAGGAACATACAAGGGGATATCCCTTGGCGTATGTTGTTCACGGGAGTAAATATAAAACTAGAGTTATGACGGTAGACCCTTGAGTATAAAGATTTTAGATTGAGCAGAACTAAAACCGAATATATGAGATACGATTTTGACGGAGTTGTACAGGAGGAGTGAGATATGAGTTTGGAAGGTGAAGTAGTGCCTAAGAATGATATATTTCTGTATCTAGGATCGATGCTACAGAGGGATGGAGATATTGATGCAGACGTTAGCCATAGAATCAAAGCAGTGTGGATCAAGTGGTTAGGCAGAATCGCTCGAAAAAACACACTTATGGAGGCGCTTGTCTTCCACTAGACACTAAGCACTCCGAAAGTGAGCCACATCAGGTAGTTTCGTCGAGCACACCCCATGGAAGAACCTAAAAATCCACATTTTTTAATAGGATCATAAATGAGAGAATAAAACTTATAACATTTTAACCATTTCTTACACCACTTTTCATGCAACATCAGAGTATAATATTTATTGTTTATAACAACGGAATATAATCATGTTATCAGAGTTTCAGCGGAAAATGAAATCATTTAATGACAAGATAAACATTAACATGATGATCCGTTATATACAACACAACAGGTTATAAGTTTTTCCATTGTAAAAACATTTTGGGTGAAAGTTTCAAATAAACTCTATGTCCACAACGTTAAGGAAATCCTCGCTGAGCCCACCAGAAGGTTTCCACACATAAGTGTCAGCTCCACATGTTCTCACACCGCAACAGAGTAGAACAAACCCTGAGTACTCAATTGTACTCCGTAAAGCTTACCCGTTAGGAGGAAAGAAAAGATTTCGAGGATATGCAAGGCTATCTGGCTCATGTGTTATTGCATCTACAGGAAGCATTACTAAAAGTGTGTTCTTATATTCAATTTCATTAGCAGTCACGATTAGTTCATTAACTAACCATTCTATGTAAGCACATGTGCTACTTTCAAGCAGGTGGTAAGCAATCAGACCATTTTACCAGCTTTTATATTCCAGTTCTTACTACGGTGCTAGATCGTAGATAAGTCATGCCGGATTACCCGGCGATTCGTGAATCAATGTGCCCAGTTGGGTACCCCCAAACACACGCCCCGATTGTACGCCAGGCACAAGCAGGTTCAACCCACCACTCTCCTATCAAGGGGTCTAGGTCCCTGTCCAAACTTGGACTCCAAGCCTCCACACCTGAGTCCCAGACTCAGTGTGATATTTAGACCTCCACCATCCCCGCCTCCAATCAGTCGGTCCGGAAAGAGCCAGAACCCACGATAAGAGAGCAACGAGTCTTTCATGCTCCCATAAACAAGTATGTGCTCAGGATAATAAGTCTGTGACCTGACTAGAACCCAATGCAACAGCCGGTCCTTAACCGACACAGGCGGAACAAGTGCAATCCGAGCTTCGCTCGAATGCCAAACCAAGTCCAGATCCAAAGTATCATTCCGCCCGGTCTCCAATTATCATTCATATATATTTTCTAGGTGATAATAATATAATAGCAATGATAATATCTTTTCTATCTCTCGTGAGTGACAGGCAATCACTCGACTTCTACCGGAGTCCTGTAGCATAGCAATCTACACGATCATGTCATACTAGTAAGACTCATAGGATAAGGATATATATATGTAAGTGGGTTTCATTCAACTCGCTAAACTTAATGCACAAGCATAAATTAAAGTGCAGAATAATAGGGGTTATGCACCGGAGCTTGTCTGGGTAAGATATAACCAAAAGTTAGTAATCCATCGTGGTGGCATGATCCTTCGGACCATCCTTTTGATACTCCAGATGACTCCATGATCCCTCATTGTTCCTATTAGGGTATACGTGGATGAAATGCAGAGACGTAATTAACCAACTACAACCGTGACTCGTAAAATACAATTTACACCTCTTAAGCTAACGAGCTAGTTCTAACGATGACCGTACTTAGGCTATGTATCCACGTTGCCGAACCAAACGCTATTTCCTAATGAGTGTTTTAGCTATACAGACCCAAGTTGTTTCTTTATTCCATTCTATCAATTTAATATCTATTCGAAATTGGGCATCATTATCTATCTAACAAACTAATTACTCTGGAGCTACAAAAATTACAGTGAGCAGATAATAATATTAGGAATTTACTGTAAAATTTTCAGAGTCGACACTATCACCATTTTCTCACAAAAATTCCCACAAGTTCACATTTTAACAATATTAAACATTTTAAAATAATTAGAGCAACCCTAAAAACAACACCAACTAGATGAACAAAATACATTAACAGATAAATCATGATTTTAGGAACCTAACAAAATTGATTTCACTATGTTTGGATCCCTAAATGATTTTGTATCTAAATAACAAAAATCAGCTCAGAATTTATTTTAGAAAACCTTTTCTAATTCCCTGAAAAACGAGAAGGGCGCCGCGGCCCACTCAGCCCAGCGCGAGGTGCGACCACGCGATGCAAGCCGGCCCAAGACGAGAAGCCCACGCGCGTGCACCATCTTGCAAAAGAGACCCCGTTCTTCTTAGTAAGAGCACAACATCCCTACACACTATTCTCCTAGTCATCATCTTTGCAAATGGCCCCCGAATGTTGCCGACTTCACCATGGGGAGGTCCCCCGCGACCCAGCGTGCGACGACGTGGCTCCGACCGGCACGGCCTGGCCATGCCGGCCTACCGAAGGTCAAACCGACGCATCCAACGAGCCGATATGAATCTACGGACCAATGCACATAGGTTGGAGGCAGCGGATGAGCCCAGCGGTGAACTACCTAACCTAGTCTCGACGATGGGACAATCTACGCGGCGGCGCGAGCGTTCCGATGAACCAACGCGCTCATGGAGAGATAGACACGGCGAAGAAGCTCTAGGAGATCACCGTGGTGTACGCTATGGCGACCGTTGATGTAGGGGAGGTCCGAGGTGGACTGGCCACGTGCGAGTCGTCAGGGCGGCGGTGCTCCGAGGCTGACACCGATGCGTCACCGCATCTCCGTGGGGTCCCTGACCAGAAGAACGCGAGCACCAGCTAGAGAAGGTCAAGACGAGTTCACGGCTACAAGCAATTGAACTTCTACCAGCCTTACGACCTTACCCCCAAGCGTGCTCTGCTACGGCGGTGAGACGACCGTCGGCTTGAAAAATGCCGAATTCGGCTAGCAAAAGGGGACGGAGGGCTCAAAGAGGGTCGGCTGGCTAGCCATCCTCCAAAGCCAACCGTGGTTGCAAGGAATCGAGCTAAGGCGTTCAGGAAAGCGTGAATGGCGGCAGCGGGCTCGATCGGAGCTCGGCGTGGCCATGGTGGGGGCGAAGGCAATGGAGTTCTCAGCCAGTTAAGGCGAGACCGAATACATGCAGGGGAAACAATGCGACACCATGGTCCCTCAAATGGCGCTTGGATGGGACTCCTAAGGCCAGAGCCCGTGCGTCAATGTACGAACACGTGCGGGCGGCAGGTCACCGTTGCGACGCAGTCGAAGATAATGCGAGTAGGAGCACGGTAGGTGGGTTGAGCGGCTGTGAACGCGCCATAGGGCAGAATGAGGCGAAAGGAGAGGACAGAGCGCAGCCCTGTGCGCGACTCGGCCGCACGTGCGCACAGCATGACGATGGTGACCAAGCCTGGCTCAGCGCGCTGCCGGCTGGCCTCCAGACTGGCCCGTGGGGCTCGACCAAGGCAACGATAAGACGTCGCGCGCACTCAGCGACACACGGCACGGCCAGAGGGTTGACCAGTAGCGGCCAACCGGCCACAGCCCCCGCCCAACACCGGCACACATACACGCGTGCGTGGTGACCGCGGCCACGGAATCCAAACAGCCGAAACGACAACACGCACGGTTTTTAAAGCGACCCAAAAACCGCTAACGACCCTGGAT